GGCATTCAGTAGAGAATATTTTGTTTTACGAATATCTTCAGTCAAGGTACTGTTTTGTATATTCCCGCCATTTTGGACGCCGTATAAATTGATGAGGTAAGATGTCGAGTGGAATTGTGTTAAGAAGAGGGTTAATTGCATGTCTAAGAATTTTCCTGGAGGGGCTGAGAAAAATGAGAAGAAATTTCAGTCAGGAAAATTTGCCTTTGTTTGCATTTTGAATAAGATTTACCCACGATGCAGGTCGCACGCTTTACGTCTGTGCCAGTTTGATAATTAACACGCAATACTAAAGAGGGCTCATGAATCATGTGTATTTTACTTCATATTTGTGATACCTGTTAATTTTTCCAGCCTTGTTCCTCCTTCGCGTTCATGCCCAGCGTTTTCCAACTTTGTCTGCAGAACTTTTTTAACTCTGTCGAGGAAACAGTCCTTGAGAAGCTATTAGTTTTGTAGCTAGTCAAGAAATCCTTCCCACACTGTATTGCCATAAATTACGTCTCCACAATAATTGCCACAGCCAAACATTTCCTAATGAAAGTTGTAGATCTTAATTAATTTATAGTTTACATATGAGGAAAGTTATGAAGTAGTGTTGTAATATTTTATGAAGCAGGTAGTTCGATATTAGTACAAATTAAATTCTCTCTGTACCCAGTTTCGGAGAAGGAACATGCAAACATGCTCAAGTTTGTATCCATTTTAAAGTACTTTGCTGAAAACGCTGTTTAACGTTATGAAAGTATAGTGAAGCTGTAGCCATTGTTAAGAGTCTGGTATCTTTCACGGCATTGCACAATTCGTGTAGTCGTCTTTCCTGTTGGAAGGTCAACTCCCAGTCGCCCGCCCTGTCGTGTGGAGAGCTGTTTCCTCGTACATTTTCTACGTCAACACACCAGGATCACGCAAGTACGTAGTTTGTGTGGCAGACTCGTTGGGATATGCAGGGCTCAGTGGGATAACAGATTGCAAGGTAAGAATGTTTGTTTTCGTAACAAAAACCAAGATCCTATTGAAACTATATGTCATATTGTACTATGTTTATTATTTGTTAAGAAAATGTTGATATTTGCATAATTTCAAACAGAGATTAATGTTCGTGAAATTGTCGTATTTTTATTGATTCGTGTTTCTTTGTTGCCGAAATTTTAACAGGATTAGAATTCATATAAACTATTCTGCATACATAAGCTTTAAACCTAGCATTTAATCACATTATTAACAGTACAAAAACAAACATTATAATTCACATGGCCGCAACTTCTGGAAACAACTCTAAGAACATAAATATTTTGTCTGAAAAGTGGAAAATACAATGAAATAGTTTCTGTATGCATTATAGTGAAAGGTTAAGTACGGATATTAATTTCGTCATTATTAATCGTGGATGGGATATAATTAGGCAATGTGTAAGTTGTGAAATATTGAAAGTACGAAAGAGTCGTGTATTAAACCATGATTTCTTGTTTGCTGGTCTTGTCCGGTTCATCAGATTATTTAAGTTCACACAGACGCTGACTTATATAACGAGCGTTCACGATTTAGACCAAGTATTATGAAATATTGAGAGAGTTTGAATTTCAATTCAGCACTGAACTATTAATCACCCAAAAGCGTCTGTGTAAGGTCTGCCTGGGGACCCATATTTTGAACTTATTCTATTCTTGGAGATACCGGTACTAAAATAAATTATAATCTTAAGTGAACACCCCGTTTACAGCATTCATAACACTTCAGGACTTTCCAAACAACTTCCAAGAAAACGGAGTGGTTAAGTTTATAAAAGGCCTTTTGCATGTGACGAAACTATGAACCGCGAGCGGTGGTTGGCACGTGGTTAGAAGAATAGGGCAGTGGGAGGAAGTATTCTTTGGTGTGGTGAAACGTGAACAAGTTATTGAGAGAAAAAAGGAAGAATAATTTACTTTCTAATGTATCTGTGGTTTACTTAACGACGTTTTCAGTAATTCCAACAATAAAGTGTTGAAATAAACGGTCGTGACTTTATTTAGGGTAGCATACCGACTTTTTCGGAGGGACTAAGTAAAACCACGATACACCTCAGGATAGCCAACGAAATATGAAGCAGGAGTGCTAACCATTCGAATGAAGGAAGTAAGAATGAACGTAAATAAAAAGAGAAAAGCTGGAAAAGTGAGGAATTGTGTGCTGAAGGTCACGGTCATGGTCTTGATCGCACCCTTGTTCCAAATTTGAGTACGTAAAGTGAGGTGTTTCATGATGAACGATGCACCAGTTGCTTCTGCGCACACTCAGTACGTCGCTTGTGACGCCAGACGACCTGGCTGGCCGCCAAAGTACAGTACCTGCAAATGTGGGTCACGGGAACAGTTTGAGTTACTCATTGTCGGATCAATGTTCTAGGCAGTTGTACGACCCAGGGGAGGGTGATGTTGGTCGGGTAGACATTGATTTCTAATCATACCGCACGCGACATTTAGTCAGTGCGACCAACCTTATCAACAAATAATAATTATTAACAAATAATATCTAAAATAATTCTTCTGGTTCGTTAGTATTCTGAAACAGAGCTTTCAGTCGTATTAGTAGTAAATGTGGTTTATAATATGCCAATACATAAATTTCTTACAAGCTACGCTGCATTTCAAGGTCGACATGTATCAAAATATTGCACTAATCAAAAGTTGCCTACTTTTATAATATTATAATCGTACAAATTTGAAGCCTCTTCACACACTGTTTTTTTTTCAATTTCACAAATTTTAAGGGCCGGCATTTTGGTTTTCTGAAGTAGGTTGTGGCCTGTTAAACCCTGAAGATGCAAACGACGCGTTCCTTCTAACAGCTGTGGCGTGTTCACAGTGATTGACCTTGACATCTGTGAATGGTAAGTGAATTTCTTACGCGGGGATTCCCCGAGTCGGCAAGTGTTAGTAAAACGTCCCGGTATCAAATTTAATTGAAATCCGTTCGGCCGTTCTTGACGTACGGATTTGTATTTAACCAGGGATACGAACGAGCGTATAAAAGTAATCAGTATAACGACATCAGTTCCAAGATGACGGGTGTACAGCCAGCGCCCGTGACTTTGTTTGTATCGAATAAGTACATTGTCCAGTATAATATTAAAATAATAGCATAGTTGTCATAGTAACGGCTGAGCTACATAACAATGTCTCCGTGACAAATATCCGTACAGGGTTCCACGAAAATCAACGTATTTAATGAATTACTACAAAAACAGACAGTTCTTCGGATGAAGGGGCTCTCTGTTTCTTCGGAAATTTTAAAAACGGGGCCTCCATGTTGTCTGTTTATTTATTTATGATATATTTAACGATGTTGTCAGTAGCTCAGAAGAATTTTGTCAGGATAAACTGTCTTTGGGCCGAAATTAGAAGCCGGGACCTCGCGGATAATGTACAGGTGTGCTAATGACTCAAATTCGACATTCTAGTTTGTGAACAGCCCCCCCCCCTGACAAAGCCCCTAGTTTAATCGAATATTCATATCTTACGAACTTCCACATCCCAGAGCTCATTGGTTGTTTAATAATACCGCACCTGTTTGTTACGTAACGCTGAATACGGAGGATCGTCAGATCTTTATGGCACAAGCGGAAATATCCTGTCTTGAAAATACCTAACGGGAAGGTCAGGTTCATCATTGTGAAAAAGCAATGTTTGGCCGGTCTGTGTACAAATGCCAGACGTGCAGCTTCGTTTATTTGCTATTAAAGTTCGTGGAATGTGACGTGAGCGTTAAGATATTTTAGACTTGTATGGGTTTGGATCCTGGGCGTAATCTTGGGTCTTTTAGTGCGTTTGGTAAAAGCTGCTGGGTGGAATATTTGGGCTTAAAAACGAACAACTACCACCAGACGCAGATAACTGCATAACTCAGTCCGTGCACTTGATTAAATCACAGAGAATCAGATTGGCAGAGCTTGGAGTTTGGAGTGCTGACTATAGGGCTATGTGTTTTTCAAATTAATTATTTGCGATTTCGCATATATAATTGTTGTTTTATTGTTGATTAATTTACGTTGTTGCAGATTTAATACATGGTCAGGTATATGGTCTCATTTTATATAGTTCTAACAAATATATATTGCAGAATGTATTTATATTTCTTGAACATTAATTCATAAACAGTGCTGCATTTAAAAATACGAATTAAAATAAACGTTCGACCTGCGAAGAATAATATATGCATTTTATATACGAATTTCATCTTGATAGTTTATTATTATCTTAACGTAAAAATCACAAATTTATGTCGTAGAAGTCAACGTAGTTTACATGAATTTCAGTAACGCTACTGACCGAATTTTGTAATATGAAAAAGTCAGCCTGAATAAATCAGTGTTAAAAAAAAGAGCTCTGTTCAACTACATTTTGAAGCCAATGTTGGTATCTACGATGGCACTGCAGTTTTTATGTTTCCTGGAATTCTCGTCATGGAAATTATGTTCGAGTAGAAAGGTCAGCTTCTCCGGAAACAGCTTTGTTTGTGTAACTCAACAATGCTGCACGAAAACCATAGAAATTTACAGTTTCTTTGTCATATACTGAGTGACGTATCAAATGAATGCACAAAACATGAAATTGCTATCAGGTTAGGCCTGCATGTTAATAACAATAAATTACCCGCAGAGAACAATGTGAAAATCTAATGTAGTAAATCACACGTAGTCATAAATATTATCCCATAAGGTCCAAAAGTCTTCAGCAACAAATGATCACCAACCAACAATCGCTTAATGTATAGGTATTCTTTCTTTATTTAACAACACATTGTTGAACCAGCTGGGTAGATTATATGGCGTCGAATGACAAAATGATTACGGATTATGAAAGTACGAGGTGCGATCGGAAGGTTTCAAGACTGCGCGTATAAAAACCCGTACACTTATCTCAGGTATTAAATTCATCCATCACCCTCGAAGTAGGGCTATGTGTTTTTCAAATTAATTAAGCTAAAGGGAAGGAGATTTGAGGCGATAGAAGAGATTCAGGCAGAATCGCAGATGGTGCTTGACAGGCTGACAAAGAAAGATTTCCAGTGATGCTTCCAGGCTTGGCAGCGGCGCTGGGATCGTTGTGTTCACTCCCAGGGGAACTACTTCGAGGGTGATGGATGAATTTAATACCTGAGATAAGTGTACGGGTTTTTATACGCGCAGTCTTGAAACTTTCCGATCGCACCTCGTACATTGTAGATACCTGCCGATGAAGTCTCAATATTTTTTATAAACTGATTGAGGAAAACGACAGATAACCTCAATCAGAGTAGTTGTCCTTGTGGCCGAAATTCGAACCCGGAAACTTAAGAATCACTGTGACCTTCCTTGGACTGACAAGTAGTCGCTACGAGTGGAGTGTATAGTCAGACTGGTTGTTCCTGTCGATCATGTTAGCGTTTTCGTGATTTAGTATACTTGAAAATTTACAAGGATTCGGCCTGAATCAGTAAATTTGACACAGGCTCTCACATACACAGAACATCCTACAATTACTTTACGTTACGTAAAATAGGATGTGACGTAATGTAAAGTTCAGACGAGAATGAGACGGTGTTAGTTAAATTTGAAGTGCATATTATCCTAATGCGTTTTTGATTAAGTGTTTCGTAATGAAGTGTAGCATTGGTGTTATCCTTGTGGGTGGACTGAGAACGCGTCTGTTGCTTGTATAAGATTTTAATATAGAAAATGAAAGTGCGCACTCTTTTTGAGAGTATACTTTAACAGTTCCCAAAATAATCTTCTCGAAATATATAGTCAAGACTCTTCACTTGCGCTCCAATCAGATACGATAAAAACTGGTAGAGGCCTTTTGATGTTGTGTAGATCGATGGAACGGTTTGTTCCTAATCAACTACAAAGGGTATTTCTGCGTGCGTATGTGATTATTTTATTTTACGTACGAAAATTACCCGTGACGTCTGGGCGAAGTGATCGCTACGTCCACATCTCTCGAGTCTCCTCCCCCCTCCCAGCTGTGGGGCCCCTTCCGGGGATAAATACGGCCTGAATCATTAAACTGACATTTCTTCGTCTGGTATAATAAATACAACTGCCGTGAAGCGTCTCATTCGTATTTAGGAGATTTTCTGTTCAAATTATGCCAAAAAAAAACATTTATCCAGGGTACATTTTGTATTTTACGTGTTATGTAAATGTTCTAGGCGAACTTAAAACAATTCGAAGTCGCTTATTTCCATTCTCTTGTCTTTATAATCGCCTTGTAGTTTCTAATTCAGCGCATTCAGCAACTGATAACCAAATCCATGGAGCAGAGTCCTTAACAGACGTTCCCCGTCTCCTTACGTAACTAACACATTCATTACCGCCTTCATAACAGATCAAATACTAAGCCAGATACATTCAGTACACATCCACACACCCGATTTGTACAAGATCCGTGCTATTATTGCCCTCTAATCTGTTCCTTGGTCTTAACAATTGATATTTTCTCTTCACGTTATTTTATAATAATAAATAATAATTAATAATATTTGATACATTGTGCTTCGTAATCGTTCCCCCAAAAGAGTGGCTATCTTGACTGAGTTTTCTTTCGTGGTTTTCCTTCGTCGCTACCTTCCACATCGTTCACTTTTCATTCTCATCGGCGCTACGTAACCAATGCAGTTGATAACGCGTATAATCAGCAACGTGGGTCTTCGTAAAGCAGCTGAATAAATATCAAAATACGTGCTGAGGCGTGGAATGTGTTCCATTGTTCCATAGACGTCTTCATCGCGTGATGCCATGGAGTAGAGGCACAATTGTAATTTGTCCTTATATACAGCATACTACGTCACTTGTTAATAATATTCAATTCTCGAACGCATGCGTGAAAACGAGAGCACGCTTACCTGGGTTTGGTTAACACTGACCTGAATTACCTTCAAAAAGTTACAGAAACCGCGTGTGAGCATGAGAAGAGGGAAATTGTCGTTTCTCAGTGTTGGAGGTACTGTAATTATATTTCTATTGTTATAAGATTAATTTAACGTGCATATTTTATTTTGATGGGGTTTGATACGTGTTCTTATCGAGGCACTATACAAACGCGCAGCTTTGATTTGATAACGGGAACATTATTGTTGCCATTTGGGCCTGATCTGTGAGCCGAATTTCTTTCATTCCGTTTCTAACATTATGAGCACAGTCATTTGTTATTTTGTTGTAGTGTGATGAGTGGTTATGCCACGTCTTCGTGTGTTAGATCTACTTGTGATTTGTTCGCGATGTGTTTATGGGTTTTGTACGATTCTCTGAATAACAACGTGTATTTTCTTAAACAATATTAACCATTTAATCTCTGAAATGGAGACGCTTTGTGTTTACTTTGAGGTACGTACTGAATTTTTAAATATTATTTGTGTGAGTTTCGAGCTCTGAATGGTTAATCGTAACTGCTACATGTGTTTGTATGTACAGTGCAGATTGTAGTTCTCCAAGGGTCGAAGTCTTGTTGGGGTCTTGCCCTTGTTATCTTTTGTTTCTTGTTTTTATTCTGTGTAAATAAGTTACTTGTGTTTTAAAAGAAACTAATCACTTTTAGTCTGTTTATCGGCGTTTCGGGGGGGAGGGGGGGGGAGCGTTTCCCCATGTAATACGAAATTACTCCGAAGAGGGCGTGTAAAAATAAATGAACAGTCTTGCTATTGCAAATATAGAATTCCACATTCCACATTTGCTGAACAGCAGTACACTTTCCTTCATACTTCGTTGGCGGCGAGAGAGAAAAGTCTATGACCGAGTTTCTCGTTATCTATAAAATGAATTGAAGGTAATCTGTCTAATAATACTCGCCGGAGAAGGAAAATTATTATGCAGACATTGCTGGAATATTCTTGGAAAATAGCTTGAATATTTAATTTTCATTGCTTTTATTTTTATTTTGTTTAATCAGTGAAGTCAAAGTTGTCGGAAGACCTTGATAATTACAACGAATTAACAAATGGAACTAGCTTGGTTGCTTTCCTCTTAAAGACATGTCCTTCAGAGGCTCTGTTAGGTGTCATAATGAGGTATAGAAGCAAAATCAGTTAAAACTTGCGGGTTATGTTCATTCGTGTCTCGTCACCAAAGTGCATAACAAATAATAAATTAAATAATATTCATCGCCCTGATGATGGAGGCAGTATGACCTCTGAAACGTTGGTTAACATCGACCAGACTACACAGCGCAACAACCCAGAAGACAGAAATCTTCATACTCACAGCTGTGAAAACCTCAAATCTTACAATAAATTAAAGGTTTCTAGTAAATCCTTCGAAAACGTGGCAGTGGTCTTTTAATGTAACAGTGACGTTAAAAAATCAAAGTTACATTCATGATTAAATGAAAGGTAGGTTAAATTCTGGTAATTCAGGCAGACAGACGTGGACAGGCCCATGAAGTGTTTTTCGCTTTCTTTGAAGTGTAAAGAACGCCTAAAACATAATATGAAGTTCTACAAAACTATAATTTCACTTGCTAAGATCTGAGGCTTTCACGGCGACGAGTATGAAGATGGGATGTCTTCTGGGATGTTGTATCGCGTAGTCCAGATATTTAGACCATCTTATTGTATCATATTGACGTATTTATTTACATACAGCATTATCTAGTCAGTTGCTGCCGAAATACTGGCATTATGCAAGGCCAAAATTTCCCTCTGCGGCCTATGTTTATTAATTTTGTATGCTGCCCATCAGTAGTATGAGTTTGAACGAGACCGCTGCCATTAGTAGAAAAGACAGAAGCATAACGTGGTAGAAGTATAGCCAACTCCCGAAATTCCCTGCGTATGAAATATACCGTAAGCAGTGGACGATGTCCAACGTAATTTCCATGCAAGGAAGGGAAGGTTCGTCAAATTGTTATTTTGAATTTCAATCAGATACAACATTCATAAAGGTTTGGTGTGATGAAAATATATGTTTTATATATGCTTTCAGTACCATAAAAGTGAATAATACCAGTGTAGTGTTGGTATAAATTGTAATCCCACCTATTTACAGTTTATGTAATGTCATGGTCATGGATAACCTGTCATGGCAATGACATTAAAAGTGGTTTTTTAAAAGATATGGCTTTGGATGACTGCTAGTGACATGGCCAACAGGGAGAGTTTTATATTTAAATGGTAACAGTATTTATTAGGTGAGATTTTAGGTTCTTACAGTGTCATCACCCTGATGGCGGAGGCAGTAAGCAATTCTGAAATGTTGCCCATTATTTGCTAGAATACACAGTGCTATATCCCAGAAAACTCTCCGTGTGGTGGTCGGAGAATAAGAATAGCCCCACTGTAGCCCATGCATGTCGTAAGAGGCGAGTAAAATGGGTATCCATGTCTGGGGGTATAGCTGGACCACCCTGCCTCTGGGAGATTTAAATACAGAGGCCTGGTCCTCCAGGTTGGGGATTAGGCGTGGGGCTAACACCCCCACCCTGTAAAGATCACTTATTATGAAAGCTTGAGCAGTCCAAGACCTACCCTGGGTTGTAGCGCCCATGATGATGATATCCCAGAAAACAGCCATCCTCATAGAATTTGTTGTTGAAAAGCCATCAGTAACTAACTTAAACAGCTTAGAAATGGATAAAAATGTTTGTTTCAATGATCTTTATAATATATAAATGCTGAACAGAAAAGCAAGTGCTTTTCAGGAATATACATCCTGTATTCAGCAGAGAATTAATATGTTGGTTCTTGAAGCAGACTGTCATCTGGGTTGTAGCACTATGTTTTCTGATAGAAGGTTACGTTTCAAAGCCCTGATGGTGGAGGCAATATGTACCCTGAAATGGCAGTAAACTTGTACAACAGTACATACCCAGAAGACGGACCCTGAAATTATACTGGATTGTGTATGTTGTTCTTCAGGGTTGTCATTGTTTTATTTCTCCCAAAATACTTTTTTTCCCCCTTCTTTTGTAGGTAGTGAAATTTGGTGTGTAATAATTTGTAGAATTAATCTCAGCAGCTGCCTGGCTTTTTTATGAGTGTATCAGTGGTAAATAAGTAATCTTACTTTGTCCCTTTCTCCATTATCCTTTATTACATATTTCTTCGCCTGTCTTAACTGTACTTACTGCAAATTACAGTGTCTTCAGGCTTGTTTTACAAGATGCTGGATAGAAGAGACAGTTATTCTCATAATTTCATTTGCGTGACTGCAACAGTGTTGCTTCTCCTTGGATACAGCAACTGTGTCTTAGCGCAAGGTACGTTAATATATAAAACTTAAGTTAAAGTCTTTTAGTGAAGTAATGCTTAGTGGGTTTCAACTCCAGTGTTTAATGTTGATTCAAATTAGATTGTAGGATGATCATGAAAGTCATTATGGAGAAGGATTTGGAAGGAGACTTTAAGGGTATATTTATGGTACTGGAATTTCCCCATAAAATCAGAGGAAGACATGCTAGTTAGTAAATATGAAGTAGGCACCTCCTGTAGGATTTATTGGCGGTGAGTATGAAGATAGCTGTGTTCTGTTTTGTAGCACCATGTAATCTTATACTAGTTTATTGATCACCCTGATGGAAGCAACAAGAACCTACATGGAACAACAACCTAGAAAACAGCCATCTTCTAGGTACCTCCTGCTTACAGGTTTTAGAGCATTGCCGCTGTACTGACTGCTTGCGTCTTGCGTGATGGTTTATTCGCTGTGTGTTTATGCAGGAAACCTACTATGAAGACGTGTAACTGAAAATTAAATTGTTCTAGATGCAGCAGGAACGATAGCTTCCCATTTGCCGGCCCAGTCTGCAGTGTCTTCGGCCAACACGTCTGCAAATTCTTCGTTGTCTTCAGCATCAAAGTCAGCTGCAACGCAGGCAGTAACAAATGGAAACCAGACACTAACAAATGGAACACAGCCAGTAACAAATGGCACATCATTAATTACAAATATAACAAAATCTGACAATACAAATCAAACAGAAGGAACAAGTGCACTTGATTCACCATCAGAACCATCTCTGCTGACAATTTTCCTTGTCAGCGATCTGCAGTATGACATTTTTCCTGTTTATCGAGAGAACAGAAGTTTGTGTGATGTGGGTGATGTGGGTGATGGTAAGTCTTTTGTTTCTTATTTATTGCTTTTAGCACAGACCAATTCTCAGAGGACTTAAATGGTTTTTTTGTCTGTAAAGGTAGTACAGGGACTTAAATTACCTGTTAATGTATGATAACTTAAATGGATGCTCATTTGTATGGGGAATTGGGATCGTAGTAGCGAGGAGCAGTTCTTTGCCATTTTGAAGTAATGTTTTGGTATTTATCTGGAAGGACCGGGTAAGACAATGATCTCAATGTATCCATTTCTCAGGCTTTGCCTCACCATTGAGGCCCAGGTGGCACTGTGACGGGTTGCTCTCGGAGTCCTTTGGTGCAGAAAGAACTTCTGTGCAATATTAGTAGAAAGGTGTACTACAAATTGGAGTGTCTTTTCCAAATTTGTTCTTTGTATTTTTATTTACCTCTTTGGTTTTGTTTATTTGTTGCTTGTGCAAAGCTGTTGTCCCGCGCCGTATCCGCGTGGTCTGAGGCATCATGCTTTGGACCGGCGATACGGAATGCGCGCTGGTTCGAGTCTCGGGGGAGAAGAAATTTTCTCATGAGCTTTCGACCAGTGTATGGGACCGGTGCCAACCCAGCATCATGAGGAAATTGGGGAGCTACAATGGGTAGCGTAATCCGGTCATAAAAACTAGCAATGGCTGGGGTTTCGTCTTGCTGACCACACGTCACTCTGTATCTGGTTAGATGATCGTTCACCTCTGCTTAGGCATGTGAACGTGAGGCCAGCAGCCATCTAGTCGGCTTTGGCTCTCAGAGGACTGTTACGCCACGGATTATTATTATTATTATTATGCAAAGCTGTTACAACAGATAATAGTCTATTGTTCTGAAGCTGTTCACACCAGAGACTCATATTATTTTTTCCTCGTATTTGACGTGTATTCAACCGTGTCAAAAAAGTGTTACATATAAAAGTTGTAAATATCAATGGAGTCTATTTTTGTCATGATGAACTGCTGGGGGGGGGGGATACTTTTGAACTGAGTTTTATGTAGAACATTGTTTGTATTGGACCAATATAGATAAATATTAAAATTTCTTGACAGATGTTTATCAAAACCTCATTCAGTATTTTCAATTATTGAACTTTGGAAATGTATGTAGATGAATGCAGCCTCCACTTTAAGATCATTCTGTGCACTTTGTGAAAGAACTCAGTCAACTGAGATGTCTCTGATATAAAGTTTTATTTTATGTTATGATGGCTTCGTACATCCTGTTTCTGGATGATATTACCACATAGAAATAGGCTCTATTGCTTTTGTTTCATGGATTCAGTACAGTTTAAGGCGAAAATGGAAACATCACGAAAGCCTGAAATGTTATATGATAACATGTTTCAGAGGAAAAGTGTGAAGGAGGACTGCCTTCTCTCAAGTCTTTCATGGAAGATAACCACGATAACAATTCGTACGAAATATGGCTGAATGCTGGGAACACTCTGGGAGGCGATTTGTTCAGAACACTCAAATTTAAGACAGCTCTACGGGCAATGCAGGACTTGCCCTTCAATGCCACAGTAAGTTTGTGACCTAGGATACAAAAAATAACAGGAGGGGAATAAATTATGTAATGAGAAATTTGATAGTTTATAATATTTTCCTAATATTGTTAGTATGTAATTCAACAAATCAATTAATCGCTGGTAAATTATGTTAGACATAAATGGGTTAACACACTTCTTTGTGCCCCTCTTGCCGTAATGCCACATGCCATCACACACACCTGTTTACGCAGATAAGACCTTGGTCGCTGAGTTGTGATGTAGTCTGGTGCGGTAAAAATATCTCTAGAAAAGCCTGAATTACGTTTGTAGGTTATTTTCTCGAATGAGTTGTAAGTCACATATAAACCTAATCAGATGAGATATTTGGGGAAGATGAATTTATATCGATGGTTTTCGCTTTCTTCTTTTCCTTAGACCAACTATCCTAACAGGTTTTTCATGTTTTCCTCAGTTACATCAGGAGAATTCAGGCATTACCTTGAAGTAGGCCACAACTGCTTCCTTCCATATCCTTTTCAGTTAATTATTTGTCATCCTACAATTCGGCTCTGTGTCGTTTGGGATACTGACAGTGTCATTAAATGAACTTCAAATAATTGTAAATAAACAAATGCATTCGTTGATCATTTTCATGCCTCCTTGGTCATGATTTTTTTTTATTTCAGGTGCAATGCCACTTTTGCAAATCTGATTCACAAAAAATGTCATAAACTCTCGGTTCCAAAATTTGCCTAAATCTGTTATTATTTTTATTGTTGATACATCAGATGGACAAAATTATTGATGTTCACAACCTTTCATGTTTGCATACGCTGGATGTTTTGCGTGCAGAGAGCGCACACGAAATCGTGTTAAGATTTGATCATCTTGTATCTTCTAGGCTGTGGGATCAAATGTGTTCAAGTACGGAGGTGAAGCAGGCCAAAGCTACCTTGATGGGCTGAATGAAACTGTTGTGGTATCAAATATTGATCCAGCACCGAGACACAAGTCATTAACTTTTGCTGTTGAAAACTGTAGCGTCTCAGTTATTGGCTATGTAGACAGCTCGGTAAGTACGCGAGTTTAGTTCTTTCTTAGCGTAACTGAAGTGGGAACATTGTTAATGAGGCATCTGTCTGTGACACTTCATACAAGGGATACAAAGCAGTGATAAATTCATAAAGTTCTGTTTTTTTTTAGTATTAAATAATACTGGGAAGATATAAGCTTTCTTGACTTTAAAGTGTATAAAGTGAAGCGCCGCTCTATGAAGACATGAGGAAATGGAGGTGTAGCTAAGCACTTTTGTAACCTTGGCACTAGATGGAGGTGAGTGGTTGGGTACATGTCGCGGCGGTCTATTGCCGATACCTGTTGGGTGACACCCTTTGCCAATCTGGACCTGGTTGTAAAAAAAAAAAAATCCCATAGCCCCCTGTCGTGGTTTGGTAATGTGAGAAGCCGTACTTCCGTGCTTCCACAAATCTCATTGAAGAATGGTGCGTTGAGTATGTGCAGATGTTCTTCATATTTAATAAAAAAGCAAAGATTGAACCTATGCTCCCTTTGTCTTGTGTGTATATTTATACTGCTCTGCTTTTTTTTTTGTTTCTTTCAGGAGCAGGACATACATGGCGTCTCTGTAAAGAATTACACGGAGAGTATAATTGAAGAGGTAGAAAGAATTAGTAAAGAACATCAGAATGATACAAAACCGATAATTGTTGTTATAGGTGAGCACAAGATTATAGTATTACAGAATTTTAATTCATTTTTGTTGCACAATTGATAATAGAGTCGAATCATTTATTATCTATTTCTATGCTACTACCACCAAGATCTGCGCCGGCAGCGGCTCCAGGCGGGCTCACGCCCGGACCTTTCCACTCACACCCGGACCTTTCCACTCACACCGCAGCGCCCTTATGTGTAAGGAGGGGAGTGAATTAACCATTTCTAGCAAAAATAATGGGGGCTGATACGTAATTATGCATTCTGAATTCAAACTGTGGAAAAGATCAGACCAATTAGCCTCATTAAGCCTGGATTCAGTCTGAAGAAAGTATCTTTGTTTTTTAGTTTAACTAAACCAAAGAATAGCAGAGGAAAGGGGGTTGGTATAGAGAAAAGTCTGTCACAGTACCGTAATTTTTTTTTTTAGAAAATTTCAGGTGTTTGAAGCAGTAATACAAAATAGCTGTACCTACCAACCCAGTGTATTCTGTGTGTTTCAGGGAGTTCCACTGTCAATAAGTCAAAGGCTATCGCTAGCATCGATGGAATTGATTTTGTATTCTTCAGTGGTGCCAACTGGTCTCAAGGTGAAGTGATAAAATATAGAGATTTTCTCTGAAGTTTATATTGAACTGTTATCATGAGTCAGTGGAAAAGGGGAATCATTCCAAATTCATTATCACGAGAAAACCATAAAAATAAAATAAGTTTACTACCCTTACTCTTGTTTGGTCATTAATATTCAAAATTTGGAATTCATAAAAAATGATAGCAGTGAATATTCCTATCCTTTTATTTTTCAATTTTTTGTATTTATGTGTGTTTTGTGCATTTTAATTTCATTGAAAAATGTTATAAAAATTCTCTCCATTCAGTGATTCAGTTAAATTATGTGATACTTATTTTTTACTGTAGCAAACATGGCGTCACTAGACACTAAATAATTGCAAGAAAATACAGTTACTGCTTGGATAGCTAGATGATTGTGTTATCAAAACAAAATATGGCCTAACCCGAACCAAAAAGATCGTCATATTTGATTTTTCAAGAAGTTAATAATTAATATAAAATTTTTAGAGTAAAACTCATTAAAACTGCATGATGTAAGGAGGTGGATAATGTAAAATACTTCAGCCTTTGTGATTTATGTATCATTTTATTTTGTTTGGTTTCAACAGATGCAGCACCAAGTAAAGGAGGACAGAATGTATCACAATATTTTTGTGAGACTGTGAATAAGACGTCGGTCAACAAAACAGCGCGTGTGTGTAGTCTGAAAGTCAACCACACCAGTGAAACAGGACGCTTTATTATAGGGAAAATGCAACTGCCTATAACAAACAGCTGCAGTGTTGCCAATGCAGAGTTTGATGTCGTACACTATCAAAACTCCACACGTAAGTTTACTGAACTTTGTCGATTATTATATTGTTTAATGACAGTGTCAGCTACTGAAGTTAGTGTCGTGTGAGATATGACGATGACCATAAGTGGTGAGTATTTGCCTGGAGATACTAAATAAAACCATGAAAAACCTCGGTTAGGTTAGGCATTGTTAAAATTTGCACTAGGTACCTCCTGAATATAAGCCTTTCTCTTCAGTAGTTGACCTGGATATGTAATGAAATTGCTTGTGCATTATATTTCTGATTTTTATTTGGAAAGTGAGTGAAAGCAAACACATTACCCATCTATTTTGGCTGAAGGTTGTTGTTTTTTGTTTTTTGTTGTTGTTGCACTCTCACCAATAAAATTCTGCACATTGACTGCGGTGGTGAAATGTACTACTTTTCTCATTCTGTTTTAATGAGGAAATTCTTTATTATGGAACCTGAATGTTTACTACCTTCTTCTTCTTCTTCTTCTTCGGCGCCCCGGTCCATATTCGGTCCATGGCCTCCTCAATTCACCTCTCCCATTCGGTCTGTTAGGTCCGTCTGTCCGAGGCTTTGATCGAGGTTTTGAAACATCTTCCTTTTTATGGCGCAAGGTTGTTAGCCTTGCGACCAACCCCCAACCTGGAGGACCAGGGTACCTGTCTTAGTCTGACCTCTCCCCCTCGACCAATCTGGCTAGGGATGCCCTACCAGTAGCTCTTGGGATCACTGAGGTACTCAAGCCCCACCACCACGACAAGGTGCAGTTACCATTAAGTGGGGGTGTTTATAACCAGTCACCACAAAATCCAACTGATTCCATATATTTGATATGTTTACATGATTGACAATTTTTTTTTATATTTTACTGCTTACTGCTGCAAACTGGCAACGAATTGCTGAATGCTTTGTCTGGTGTCTGTTGCCATCTTACACAAATAATACATATTTCTTTAAAAGTAGATTGTGAATTTAGAGATATTTAAATCCCCCAATGTCGTGGCTGCGGAAAGGATGTAAAGGCATGACATGAAGCTATGCTTGTAAAATTCACTGATGGAAAATCATTGAATCTTTCAGAAAATAAAGAAGCTTTAGATCTTATCAAGACTGAACGTAGGAGGCTGCAAAGACAGAATGAGCCCCTTACCGAGAACACCAAGAACTTGACAGCAGAGAGAGACATATGCAGTTATTCAGAATGTTCACTTGGGAATCTGATCGCAGATTCCATGGTGGCAGCTCTGAGAAGTGACGGTACTTTGAACAAAAGTTCCACCACTATAGGAATATTTCCAGCATCGCATCTTCGACCAAACGGAACCATCCCTGAAGGTACGTTTATGAAGTGAGATTTTACATTATAGATTTGTTGCAAATTCAACTTTTGAATTTATGATTTTAATAGAGAAATACTTACATTCTGCTTGTAATGAAATCTGCTAATTAGTCAACCAACTGCTTAGAGCAGAGTCATCAAGAAACTGATAGTTGCTTAACTAGTCATGAAATTCCAGACCTTTATGGAACCTGAACGTTGATTACTGCGTTCACAAGAGCCTGCCACTCGTCCCTGTCTTGAGCCAGGTGAATTCAGTGAACACATCCTCTCTTTCTGGGATCCATCTTAATATTATATTATCGTACTAGCAGCGTTCAGTTAAGAATTCAATTTACAAAGCTCCTGATTTGTGGAACCTGTGGGAATCCTGACATTCCACATAACGCAGATTGAGAATGACATCCATACATGAACTGTTACAAACTTTTAATTACACAAGAAAATTATGGAAACTTTGCTCAGACTAATGAAGCACATGGCAACGGGGAAATATTAAATGATCTCTCCCCACAGGAAACGTGACAGCAATGGATCTTTATGACCTTATTGACCAAGATGCGTATATCTACAGTGTTTTACTGACAGGCTGCCAGCTGAAGGACATACTTGAGATTTCCATTAAGAGCGTTAATAATTCCAACCAAACTGACTTCCTTCACGTATCTGGTAAGTCATTACAATTTTCATATGATTTGTGTAAAGCACAAAGTACGTGGAATAGGTGCATAATGGAGGGTCACATTTGCCTGTCTTGCCGTCCAACCTTCTTCATGTTTAATCTCTCAAAGTGCTGGACATATTTCACACTATGAGTTGTTTGGTAAATTTAATTCTGTTTTATATTGGTCGCTATAATTTGTGTGTTACGTGAATAGATAATTGTACGTGGAATTGGTACAGAACATAAAAGACACATATAAAACAACTTTCATTTGAAATATGTTTTAATATGGCAGATATTTAACAAAACACAAGAAAAAATTATTTTTTTAATTTATACTGTGATGTCACTACTGAGAAGAGCTCTCTGTCTGCAGTAAGTGAACGTCAGTGCTGATGTCATATCCAAAATAACAAAAATGCATTTGGAAAATGTGTGTTCATGTTCATGTTTTCACTCTTGTATGGAATGCAACTCACGACACAAGTTCTTCTTTGAACTAATGATGGTTAATAAATCCCATACTTTTATGTCTATACCAAAAATGGAACCATTGCCTTTCAGTATACAAAATTTCTTTTAATGTTAGTGTTTCTCTTTTCAGGTTTATTACAAATAGAGTACAGAAATGAACATGAGAACAACTCAGAGATAGCTTCAGTAAAAACAGTTTCAGCTGCTTCATTATCCATGTTGTTACGTGAGATAGATGTGAATGATAGTGCAACATTTTACAATGTAACAGTGCCACTTACACTTCTGAAGATGGAGAACTACAAGAAGTTACTGGGTGCAGTAAATGCTTCATATCATCGTAAGTATTCCATTTGTAGCGCAAGTGATGTGATACTTGCTCTCATTTCAGATGCTGAAAGAATCACCATGTCGGCTTAACTGGTTGTGGGGCTTTGGAAAGTATGTGGCTGGGATGACCACTCATATCAAGTTTCATGAAGATCCATCAATTAGTTTTTGTGTTTTGGAGCGCTGTGACTCGCACATCCGAATTTTCACGTCTTTACACTGTTTTGAAGTGTCCATTTTTTTTAGGCTGCTATCATGTGGGAATTTAAATTCCTGTTCTTCAGGGTTGTAGGCCTGAGTTATTGGTTTAATTATGTGCTACAGCTGATGAAGATTAATGATTGAAAGAACTTGGGTATTTTGATCTTACATTTGATGCAAACAGTAATAAGTTTTGTTTTCTCCACTTCAGCTGTGACAGTTGTTGAGGCTGTGACAAGATACATAAACAACACAAGATTCCTGCTTCTTCCTGCAGTTGGTACTCGACTGATACCGATTGATTCACGCCCAGCACCGTCTCCCGCGGTTGTTTGTGAAAATCACATGGCTACCATTGTTATAGGTAAAGTTTAATATTTTGTATAATTGTTGTTTTTCAAATTATGTTTTATATTGGAGTGATAGTATAAATTTTAATATTATGATGTGTCTTTCTGTTGCAGTGACACTGATAATTGCAGCTTTAGTTGTAGGCCTTCTTTATGGTGTGTGGAGGTATGTGCTTAGAAGATACAGTCCTCGAAGTTCCTCTACTTTACACATGATTAACTTAGATTAGCAAATGATGTTCTGTGATATACATCGGTAACATCAGAACAGCTAATTAGATTAGAATTTTAACAACACCGAAGGATTTCCAAGTCCAACTGTAAAAAGTTAGACTTGCCAGTAGGGTTGAGTTTTAGAATAGTAATTCACATCAGAACTTGTTATGCTTACTTCTAGTCATAATTTTTTTTAGTCAAAGAATGATAGCGACCTATACAGAAAGTCAATATAAAGAATATATTTTAATACTAAAGTTGCACATTTTTATTATACAATCCATTTTAACTATACCCCTTTTAATGAAGTGATAGTACATTTTTTTACACTGTCTTAGTTGTTTAGACAGAGATTTGAAAACAGAAAACAACCTTCGTCCCTAAATATTGTCCTGAGGATTGATAAGTAATTTAGATATACTGTTGTGTATGAAGAGTGTGGAAACTGATGTTAATTTGCAATATAGTGCCTTGTTCCCAGGTACAGTCCTTTTGTTTTTTGGGGGGATTTGATATATGTGATTTATATGTATGTAAATTAAGTTTGGTTTGTCAAAATATTAATCAATATGTTGATTTTATAAGAAAGGTACACCAATGAGATCATAAAGAATGTTTAAAAAATTTACTATAAACATGAGAAATTATATATGTATATAGTTTTGGCTGTCTGTTTAAGAAGCATATACATATCTTCTTTGCCTAGTTTTAAGGTGCAGGCGTGTAGGACAGAAGGGCGTCGCACTGTACGTTGTAGATTTTAATTCCTTGGCACATTTGCTCCAGTACCCGTACAGAAATATTAACCCGGCATGAATTACTTTTATGAAACGGTTTCTCACTCAAAATAATTGTATTTCTGATTATGATAATGTATTTTACCATTCTGTCACTAGATGGCGTTCCATCAGGTCCCATCTAATGCCTGGCTACATTAACTTTTAATCTGGTGAGAGGAAGTAAAGAGCCGCTACTTGGTCCAGCTGGTGTCAGATTGGCTACACTGAAGAGCGAGGAAAGTTATCAGTGACGATATGTTCGGTCAAAGAAGTGTGGTGTGATGATGTGATTTTATTACTGTAACACATATTTCTGCATTTTGTTACGCAGTGCAGACGTTTAAAGTACGTACATCTCCGTAAGACAAAATAAGTTGATTCTGTACCTTGAATATTACAATTATCATCATCATCATCTTCTGCTTTTCTAGAAATGGACAGGCCATTGTCATTTTTGGAATTTCAGAATCATCTTTTAAAAAAAAAAAACCAATTACAATTTACTCTATTTCTTCACTTGTCTAATCGTGTTTATAATAATCAGCTTACACTTTCTATCTTTGTGTAATTTCACTTTTTCAGTCACTTGGGGTCATATTGTTCTGAATATCAGCAACTTTTTGTCTGCATTATGTTATGACGTGGTTTCGTGTCTTGTATTTTGAAATACTCAGTTTTTCTGGTACTTTGATGGTGGATATCAAGCCTGAACAAGTCAAAGCAATTAATATTTTGTCATTTCCTCTTCAGACCTTTAGTATCTTTGAAGCCACTCTTGAATTTCTCCTTTTCTCATTGCCAAATTTAGAGGTTTAGTCATTTGAACATGATGGTATGAAACACCATTTAGACTGTTTTGTGGTGATTAGTTTTCACGTTTTCTTAAAGTTAATTTTGTTGTGCTGATCAGCATTCTTGGTCTTTGATATAACTCAGGTATATTTTTGAATACAAACTGCTTTACAGAATTAGTATGTACAATTATCCAACGTTGTTAATCACTATTATCCTTCATCTTACGATCTTGCTGACACTTGCCGTCCGTATGTGGATACAGTTAAGTCATGTCCCATCCTGGTATACAATTGGTTCCTTGTTTTCACTTGCATTACAATTTCTTGTTTTTGTCTGAAATATTCTTCTGTTCGGCATAAACTTCTACTTTTTTTAAATTTAATTTAAAAGGAATGGAACTTCTTTAATACTGACAGTTACGCTGTTCAGTGCTGTGATGCTGTGCGGTTACCAGTATATTGGAGGAATGTATGAAGATCTTCAAGGTAAAAGGTGGAGGTTATATGTTCCTCTGAAACACTGGTAACTGCTTACAACGCTGCGAGGCATCACAATTGAGAATGTCATAATCTACATTTTCTGTGCCATGAGAACTTCAAATCTTTCTTCAAAAACTCTTATTCTCCAGGAAAAGTAATTTATTTTCTCACAGCCACTAATACATCTCTTAAGGTTGGAACTTCTGGTTTTATTGTATGGAGATTTTGAATTTTCTTTCTTGTTTTGAATATAGTACCTTCTGACTTTATAGTTGCTGCTTCATTTTTTTTCGTTGGGCGTGTCAAATTTACTGTTGACCTCTCTTCATCGTAATGCCATTACGGTCTTCACTGTGAATAGTAAGTCTGGTATCATTTTGTGGCTTTCCTAAGGTGTTTTCACTTTATGTGGAGCATCTGTTTGTGAATATATTAATATATACAATTTCCTCGTACCCAAAGAAATTACTGTGGAGTCAGCGCTCATAGTGATATATTGATTATATCTGTTTTTTTTTCTTTTCGAGAAAATTTGGCTTGTTTCACATTCTACCTGCAGTGAAAGTTAATGTGGTGGGATAATACATTTGTGTTTTTAGTTAAGGTCATGTGATTGAGGATTCTGTTGCTAGATGATGGCATGGGTCATGTTTTACCACTCTTTGGAAGTAAAACTTCCCTGCTAGTTGGATGCTGTGGCAAATGTGTTAAGTGTATGGAAGTTTTCTGAGAGTTGTGTTTTTTTGTGAAGATATTTTGTGAAATTATGAATATATGTCTCAGAATTAGTGAGAGGGTAGTTCTGAAATAATTACAGTACAGTACATTTCATTTCTATTGTTCTTACCAGGGTAGGTATGGGGTCCAAGTCAAATCAGGCGACACATGATCCTTTAACATTTTTATATATTACAAATGTTTAATTACGCATTAGTTATTAAATAGTAGTGTGTTCTGAATTGTAGTCTGGTTTCAGCACAGAAGTTGAAGACTGTGATAGTCACTCTTGACATGATTATATTTTCTGTTGTGAAATTTTAAATTCAAATTAGAAAAATCTACATATTTGAGTATAATGTTATAATATTTGATTAAATACTGGGTACTGGCACAAAAAGGTATAAAATAGCATCGTAATAATAAACCTTTATCGGCCGCATGTCACAGCTAACTATGCATTGCAGTAGATTACCACAAACCCCAGTGCTTAAAGTCTGGCTTTCAGTCCTGTATTTTGGAAGTTTAAATCCATATTCCCATATCATGAAGGTTAAAGATATTATGACTTTCCAAATTATCTGGCACAGATGACAGAAAATCAGCAATTAAACAAGCCAATAAAAGTATTTGTTAATTGTCAAGGAGGCACACTCCTGATGTAAAAATATGTGAAAAGTTCATAACCGTCTCTTATAGCTACTATTATCGAAATAATTACTCAGTGCTGATCAGAAACAGATATAGCTATATTAAAACCTTCAAATGTTTTTATAACAAAAGCATTTGATATACTCTTGCTTTCACTTTCAAAAATATTCACAATAAGATTGTCTTCTAACACATGAGTGTGCTACCATATTTCATCTTTAACTGTGGCGTAAGGCATCAGGTGGCGTTAGGTTCGCATACACCCGGGAAAAGCTCAAAAGTGTAACTTCAAGAATTGAGCGTGTTGCAGAACATTTCATTTACTGTTTATCCGCTACAGTGTTTATATCAGATGATGTTACACTACTGGAAAGATTAAGTAATTAATTAATATTCACTAGGTTTGCTGGGTGTCACGTGTGTGTGATATTGACCCTTTCAATGTTAATGAAGAAAAATTCACGTGTTGTTAATTTAGAAGGCAGTACAGTATATCAACTCTGTAAAAACTTTAAATTTTTATTTTGTATGTTAGATTTATTTTTGCTGCAGAATTTCTTGAAATATAAAAACTGGTGGAACATTTCCGTCCAAAGCACATTGTGCTTTTCCGTCCATAACATTGAAAGGGCTGATAAATCTGCGTCTTTTGTGTGATACGGTATTCGTGGATTGGGAGTTCCCATTTGAGGGTGCCAAGGATACCAATATAAAAATCAAATCAAAGAAAAGTTGTTATATGTTGAAACTGGTAGGACTTGTTACATGGGGAGTGTTTCTGGAGGCTCCCAGATTAATGGGTCCAATATCGACGAACCACTGTAAAAGAACTGCGGACATTCTTAGTTTTTGATTCTGGAGTTTGGCAGAAATATTTATGGGAGTGAAGATATAATGTTTTAGATTTAAAACCAGTTATAAGTCCAAAGGTGCAATTAATGGCCTCTAAATGCCTATGTTGAGCTCAGGCCTATAAGTCTGCCTACAGATTTCTCATAAATAAGAGCATTGAAGGTGTATATGATTTTTTGCATTAGATTCATCACATTTATAAAAGTGCTTTATAAAATTAAGACTGCACACAGCTTCGTATTATTCACAGGTTTACAATACTCCGTTAATATGTGTGTTTGAGGCGCTTGTATCTCGTGCCTTAACATTTTATGCTCTCGTCTCGTATAATATTGAAAGAAATGTCCGGAAGCAGAGTTTTGTTGTCATGACAAAATTTGCTCGAATCTCATTTTCCAGTGAAATTGTTGGAAGAAATCTCATTTTATGTTGCAATACATGCGAGTTTTATGTGTTGCATATTAATATTGGCATTGCCAAACTAAGCAATTAAAAGTGATTTAACACTGATTCTGAAGCATTTCAAGGTATGTTGCGTCAGTTACGTGGCTGTCAATGGAGAAGGAATCTGATCATCAAAGTTTCTTGATTAGTTGAAATACAATTAAGGTTATAGTTACCGGTGATAAAAGATGTTTAGTTGATATGCTGTTTATGAAATGTTTGTCATCGCTGAAGTAGTTCACTTTGTTAGGTTATGTAGTTCAAGTCTTCTGACTCTAACACATTTCTCCAACCCCTGCAAAGAGGAAGTACCAGTAAAACAATAATTTATGTGTTGTTTTGAACATTAATTTTCTACTGGAAGGAATTTGAAATGTATTAATTTTTAATATATGGGAAAATTAATGAAAAATTAACCTTTAAAAAAACTCGAGGAAATAAAATAAAAAGTTTATGCTTATTTAGTCCTCTGTTGTTCTCTTATTTTTATAAAGCTTCTTATCACCAGAAAGAATCTATATTAAAGTGAAATAACTTATTTTGTTTACAGTTTCAGTTAAAGACAAAATTTTTATTGATAACTTTAATGTCATTGTAATAAATCTGATCACATTATTACAAGGCGGTGTTCTCTGTATTTATTCATTTTGTCACAATATGTAATTTGTAAGGGTGGAGAATTCTTTGTAGCCACAGCATACCGAGCTTTTCGGGGTTGGTATTTAGGACGAATCATGAACTCGTGCAACTCTTACAGTTTTACGCACCAAGAGCGAAAGACAGAGAGAGAGAAAAAATGCTACTCAAATAAAGAAAGAATATTGGATCAATATTTTCAGAGCCCTCTTTTATAAAATGTTGGCATAAAAACTGTCTGGTGTATCTGATAGGTTCATTCAGCGAATGGATCGTAATTTTCGTACTTTCTTTAAACTCTAAGTAAATGTTATTAGAATGTCTTTTGTTATGGTTTAAAATGGTTCTTCTACTTCTTCCTTGACACCATGAAGTTAAGTATTGTTAATTTATTATTAAAATTAATAGTTTAACTTAATGGAATAGAGGTGCCTTTATTTGTGCTCTGTTTGTGAGAATATTGTGAATTTCAGGGTCTTTAAACATTCTTAATTCTGCCGAGTCATATCTGCGGTGTATACAGCTGACCTCATATTACATATGTAAACTGCGGTACTCCAACATAGACACAGGTTATGTAGCAAGATATTGAGCGTGTATTCTGTCAAAAATGTTTGATTACAAAGTTGATATATTAAATATTTAATAAAAATATAATGGCAGCAGACACGAATGTTAAAGTTATGTTTTGTTATGATCAGTTTTTCCAGACATTAAACACGTTTATGTTCACTAGTTACAGATCTGAAGAAGATTTTTCAGCAGTAAATTTCCTGCAGCAATATAATGTTTATTATAATATTCATTTATGGTGCTTTTATTGTGTGTAATGCGTTGTAATATTGTAAGTAAACTTATTTCTGTAAAGGTTGCTTATTAAAACAGTGTGTTTGAAATGAGGACATTAAATATGAAGTCAATACCAAATCCATCCTTAATTTTCTTTTAGGGGTCACGACTGTTTTTTTAAAAATTACAAAATATTCCCACATGCCTGCTTTTGGAAAGCATAATGGACTTGTGCCAGAAAAAACGACTATCCACGTGCTGTTCAATTTCTTTTTATTTGCAAATGACGGGGAGGCCAGCAGAACGTAAGGACAATTAGTCTGAAAAAATTGTGTTGGTTTGTTATGCTTCAGTGTTTTATAAGGGCACGCCACTGGAGTAAAACAATGAAAAGAAGGAAGAAGAAGAAGAAAGTAAAGTGAACTAAAATATCAGATAAAATTTATAGCAATTGAAATATGAAGAAACATGCAAGTTTTGAACATGTTATGCTTTTGTTAAGGTTGGCCCGACCTTGTAATATTTCATAGGCTTAAGTCCGTGCCACTGACTCAATGAGCAGTTGAATCAAGGACATTGATTACTCATCCTTACATATCACTAATGCAAGATTAGATTAAACATGACACATTTGAGAAGCCTGTACAGATGAGGATTATGGCCATTTCAGATTTCTCAGTGGCACTCTGTGTTGATAACCAATTAATCAAACTCACCTTACCTTTCAGAAATATGTAATCTTCACCAAACATCGTTAGGGGTGATAAAATCACAGTGGATGTGATAGAAAATGCATGTAGCATGCATGGGAGAGGTGAGAAATGCATACAAAATTTTTGTCAGAAACTCTTAAGGGAAACAACTACTCGGGAGACCTTGACGTAGATAGGAAGATAATATTAAAACTGATGAAGAAGTTGGGTTATTAAGTGTGGATTGGATTTATCTGGATCATTAGAGAGTTATTCAAATTCTGTAACAGGTGGGGAATTTCTTTACCTGAAGAACTTTTAACTTCTTAGCAACGACTCTGCTCGAACCAGTATACTCATTCTCTATGTTTATCACGAAGGCGTATGGGGATGTGGGCGTAACACTCCACGCGCTCTTAACGTTTCGGAGAAACATACTGTCTCCATCTTCAGGGCTGTATATACGGCGTCAAACCTCAGAAGAACATCGTCATTCTCACCACCGTGAGAAACTCAAATCTCATACAAACCCAAAGTATTTATAATATGAACTAGAAATGAGGGTCGCGCAAAATATTTCCGTGTAGTCGTTCGACAGCTTTCCTGCCTTTATCAGGGCCCTGACCGAAACCAGCATGCCCATTTATAACCAGCTGGACAGAAGACGTGGGAATATCCCTAGCATTATCTCTTGTTATTTCGTAAATAAGGCGTGTGTCGCCATACTTCACAGATATAAAAACGTCAAATATCGACTACAACAGTTTGACAAAGAGACAAGACGACGAGCTGATGTCACCGGTACTTCAATAGTTTTAAAACAATTTTCAGATACGGACAAACGCATTTGAATAAAAATGTTCGGCACTCTAGCTGAAAAATTTCGTTCTATTTAGAAGAAACAAAACAACATTTATTAGCTCGTGTATTGTTCCTTCGTATTAGTGCTCGTTGACAAATTTTCTTTGTTTATTTTGTGTATCTTTGTGCAGATCAGTAAGTTCATAGATAATATATGTATCCTAATCGATCACCCTGTTCATTTTATCAACTTTGTCTTCATAACGCAGAATATGATTCAGACAATGGACAACGGCCATCGCTATTACAGCTATTATCATCTTTGGAATCTTATCACTACGTAGTTGGTCTCTGTGAGTTCAGATGTCACTTTCGGCACGTAGACTTGAATAAATTACCTCATCTGGCTATTGTTAACATCTGAAGGATAAGCTATCTCCTGAAAGGTGGCCTTTGAATGTGTTCATGTTGTGTTGACAGAACACCCAGTCGATTGTGAAACTCGTCATCTATCTAACAGACGAAGGCAGAAAACATAATAATGCAGACAGAAATTATTTTTCTTTAATTCTGTTAACATTTTCAGGACATGAGAAGTTGTTTGAAACAAATGTTGCCAGTCGTAATGAGACCTGTATTAAATATTATTGAAATTTATGTAGAAATTTTGTTGAATCATATAAACCAAACTTACACTCTGTACAACTTTTAGTGTAGCCCTCACAGCCCCGATATCAAATTTCATTGAAATCCCTCATACAGCCCATAAATTATTTATCATGCTTTCAAAATTACATTTTCTTTTGACAAAGTGTGCTTTAGAAGTAACGCGATTCAATTGTTTTATCCTTGAATTCTAACGATCGCATTTAATAACAACCTTTATAAATAGCAGTTGTGAAAATCGTGTATATGGTGTATCAGCATATTAATATAAGCGATAAGAACCAATAGCTCAGATTTGCTGGTTGCGTCATTCCGCGCATGCTCAGTTCGCTTCATACAACTATACATAAAGCGTGCTAGTCGCTTTGAAACAATTGGTAGCTTTCTGTTAGAACTTTGATGTCTCGCTGTTGAAGAAAGCCTCTATGGATTCACAAGAAAAGATACCAAAATGCGAGACTATACGGCTGAGAAAACGCCACGTGGGGTAAGTTATTAAAATTTCTTAATATAAATGACGCAATTAATTATTTTGTTATCGTTAAAAGACGTAGTACTGAACAAGAATTCCAATCTTTTGGTTCATAAAATATTTTTGTCTCTGTTATATGTTTGCCGTATCGAAAACATTTCAAATTAAAGTCGAAGATCTTAATTAAAATATGAATAGATCATGTTAAAAGATACAGAATTTCTGGATTAATTAACTGCTCCACGGCGCTTGACATTTACCATCGAACAAGCACAAATCATTTATTTGTATTAATTTTAGAGCGTAGTTTTCTCCTTTAAATAATACCATACGTGTATGTTCTTGAACAGCATCTGTGTTACAAAGTCCAGCCATTGAAGAAAATTCAAGGAATAATCTCGTTTATTTAGAGAACCAAATGAAACTCTAAGATAAAAATCTGTTGCCGAAGTGCCTATACGCAGTTATCCCTGCTCTATAAAGCGTTCACATGGATCTTAGGGGAATAGGGAAGATTCTATAAGCTCCTCTGAAACGTCGATCACTGTCTGAGTACATGGTGCAACATCCCAGCTCTTCATCTTACTTGTCTTCGTAAGAAACTGAAATCTCGCTGTTCAGACTCCATAAAACGAGCGGAATTTGTTGATCAGCTAAATCACTGTCAACCTCTCACGTAATTACTCTCACCACAAAGCTGGGCAGTTAAGTTTGTTACTAAATTAGGTCAATCTGTATGACTTGATAGAGCATTTTTTAATCGGCAGCTGGCGAGTCGAACCGAGCCGTGTTGCTGGGTGGGGTAAAGGAACTGACTCATTTCTAAATAAAACTGGTAAACAAGTCTGCAACATGTCCCAGATGAAGAAACTGCCATTTGGCAAGTGTCTTCGAGTCGGGAACAAAAAATACATAAAAAAAATCTTGACCTCTTAAAGTCAATGTTAGACGCTTGTTATGTCAAGATAAGAAGGTGTTTATGCAGCAGCTGTTTCCAAGGCCGCCATTACAATTGTTATTGATATTTCTATCATAATTTCAAGGGCGTTTAATAATCAAGCTTGTGTTGGTAAGTTGTTAGTCTTCAGGTGTTTGCGCGGTTGCATCACGTGTTTTACAACACGCATCATTCTAAAGATCTTTCTTACGTTTTTCCTTGTTTCTTTCCTCTTAATTTGTTTCTTACATCGTATTTATCTTCCTGTCTTTACTTTATTTCGTTAATTATTTCATTTCTCGTTTCTTCCCTCCACTATTTCCTATACCTCTTTTAATTCCTTCCTTCTTTCCTTCATGGCATGTTTTATTTCTAATTTTATCTCTCTAAAGACTAAGAAATTTATACCGTGGTATATGAAAAACTACGACAGAGTTGAAATAAATTATAAAATTTAAATTGTGTCAGACAGCAATACTAACCATGAACAATTTTACTTTCCGATCGCTCGACCTTGTGTTGCTTACGAAGGAATGTGGTAGTTGCAAGTTCTTGGAAACTGTTCGATTCAGCTGTTGCTAGGTTCATTTCTGCAGCTACAAGACCGATTTTTGCGATGTCAGTTTCCTCGACTGACATTCGTTCTCTGATAAGAGGAGGAAATGCTGTGAGCAGATACGGGAAATGTCGATCGTACAATTTGATACTTGTATATCGACGTGCCAATGTTGAACACGAGCGAGGACGGCGAATGCATTTTACTTTTTAATGCCAGTCCATCGGTTTTCAAGGAAACAATTGTAATTACTGCCATTCGTGAACAAAATATTTCCTTAGTGACGTTCTGACTAATTAACTGATTAACTTCAAGGTTCTGTGACGTAGAAGCCGATTCCACACGGGGACATATTTATCTTTTACTGTCGGGGAAGTTGTTTTTCATACTTTGGACTTTGAAGTTGTGGGCCTGTTTTAATTCTTCTAGTATTAGTCTTCCTCCTTCAACGACTTAAAAAGTGTATTTGCTTGAAACTTGTTTGTTCACGTAAAAATCAGTCGCTCAGTCCTTCATATTCTCCCCTCTCCCCCACTTATATTTCTTATTTGTTTTTTAAGAAGCGATGTTTTACATATGATATGACTGGAACAAACTTAATAGAGTGAGAACCGGACAAAGATTGTCCTATTCTACGTAATTAAAGGCGACGATGATTCCTTGTGATCAATCGTAATTGTCAAAAAACTTGAAGTAAATTACTTATACAATTATTAAGTTACTGTTTAAAATGTAAGATTCTTTCCTTTACTAGAGAAGAGATGGTCGGAAAAGTCGATGGAAGAGAACATTTGGAAGCTAGACGCGGGTTTAAATAAAGCTTGCAGGAACTGGTTGTGAAAGTGTGGAATGGATTTGACCTGACTCGATATGGAACAGTGACTGTCTTTTGTGAACATGGACACAACCCTAGGAAATTGTCTAATACGATTGTTGAAAACAATTAAATGAAAATTAATGTTCTTTCTTTAACGACAATGAACTTCATG